AGGTATTATTTGTTTTATAGTTCTGCATGTCACAATAACATGATTTACTTTTTGTCTTTAAAGGAGAAACTTGCTCTCGTGCAGGAGCAGATGGGGAGACCCAAACTAAAACTGCTTGAGGAGGTAGAAACCAGGTGGAACAGCACATTTCACGTACTCCAGGAACTGATGGAACTCAGGGGGCCTGTGGGGGTAGCTTTGGCAAGTTTACAAGCTGACATCCCTGGACTAACATCTGATGAATATAATAATGTTACTATGTGTCTGTCCGTTCTCTCACCCTTCAATGAAGCCACTGTGGAGTTGTCTGAGAAAAAAAGGGTATCTGGCTCAAAAGTGATATCATTATTAAAAATAGTAGAGCAGATGCTCCAAGAAGAGGCAAAACATGCAACAATCCCACTGGAAAGGGAACTGGGCGAGCACCTCACAGGGCTTCTAAAGGAAAAGCTCCAAAACCTCCAAAAAGTATGAACGTCATGTTGCTGGCTACCTTGCTGGATCCTCTCTTCCAACAAATTGGTTTCTTTAGCCCAACAAAGGCCAATGACGCTGTCAAATGATTAACATCTGAACGTACCATCATTAAAAGGCCCCAGTCATCTCCAGCTGTAGTATCAGCATCAACATCATCACAGGATGCTGTAAATGACAGACCTGGGAATTAGTTCTGCTTTGGTTTAAGGTCAATCTGGATTAATTATGATTATCACTTACACAATCTGTTTATGCTTTTGAGGAAACAAACTTTGGCATTGTTTAGATACCATAGTGGAGGAGACCCAGAGAAACCACAATGTGGTTATTGATGCTACAGTCAAAGTCCAGAGATATTTGGCAACACCAAACATTCCCAGGATGGAGAACCCCCTCCAGTATTGGGAGAGGAAACAGAGCATTTATCCCATCTTGTAAAAACTCGCTGTGGAGTTCTTGTGCACCCCTGCCTCATCTGTACCCTGCAAAAGAGTTTTCTCCAAAGCAGGAGAATTTGTTTCTAAAACATGGAATCATCTGAACCCCGGCACAGTGGAGCATATTTTGTTTCTGAATAGTAATGAATAAAGTCCTTATGTTGCACAAACACATTCACTGCCCCTTACCTTGTTAAAAAACTGCAACATTTCGAAAACAATTGTACCCCTGTCATTATGCGTTATTCAAGCATTGATAAAATTATTTATTAATAATCATTTGATAACTAATATTAGATTCCACTGCATCATTGTCATGTTAAATACCCATAATACACTAAACAAAAATAGAAATTGTATTTATATGAATGAATACAGGAAATGTATTTATTAAGATAAATTGATTTCTTTTACCTTGCAGTCATTCCCACGGCTGCACTATTGCAGGACGGTCTTGAGTGTATTTCAAATTGATAAAATTACCCTAAAATATATCTGTAGGTGTTGGCAGTTTTCATCGCAGTTTTCATCACTTAAATACAGAAAAAGTTAACTGATTTGTTTGCAGCCTAAGCTGACAAGTCGAATACTGGTGTATCAACTCTGACACCCAGCCACTTGCACTTGACTCGGTCAAGTCATGGCCAGCAGACTGGACACACTAGGCTGCTCTGCTAGCTAAGTTAACTAATGTTAAATATTAAAAAGCCCGCTGGTTCAAGATTCAAAGGTTCAAAGTGTTTATTGTCATATGCACAATAAGGAAATGTGTTTCTCTGTACAATGAAATTCTAACTTTGCCATCCACACTGAATACCAAACAACACAAGTGAAATATAAAGTAGATAAACAGTAGCACAAAATCTAAAGGCACTTTAAACAGCAAGTGAAAAGAAATATAATAAGAACACAATAAGAGATAATGTATGCTACATCGCAGCTGTATGTGCAATAGTCAGCAGTGGGTGTGCAATTATGCAACTGAGTATGTAAACAGTACAGGTGGAATTACATGAAGTAATTCCTGGTTGTAAACTCCTGTCAGCTGTTTAGGAATCTGATGGCAGTTGAAAAGAAGAAGAAGAATCTGCTTTATTGGCCAGGTGTGTCGGACACACGAGGCACTTGACTCTGATACATCACCTCTCAATGTATGTGTATATATCCCCATGCAAGGGGCAAGTAAACAGCAAGCCAGCATAAGGCTGTGTAATATAACAAAATAAGCAGTATTAACAAGCAAACAGTGCAAACAATGCAGAATAAGCAGTATAAACAGGCAGTAAACAATGCAGACAGACAAAGGAATGCTCATTGTGAAATGAGAAAATAGGGATAAAAACAGAGTACTTAAATACAGAGACCTGTATGGATCTGAATAGTCTGTACAATGTACATTTATAGCTATTTCGCTGAGGGTTATTGTCCAGTCATACTATCGTGGGTCAAGTGTTCATCAGAGTGACAGCCTGGGGGAAGAAACTGTCCCTGTGCCTGGTTGTCTTGGAATACAACGACCTGTAACCACATCCAAAGGGGATTTCAGATTGTGTCCAGGGTGTGAGGGGTCTGCAGTAATCCTTTTCGCCCTCCTTTTGACCTGTGCGGTGTACAGGTCCTCCTTGGAGGGCAGGCTTGCACCAATTACTTTTTCTGCAGTCCTGACTGTCTGCTGAAGTCTGTACTTGTCCTGTTTGGTTGCTGAGCCAAACCAGACAGTGATGGAGGTGCAGAGAACAGACTCGATGATTCCTCTGTAGAACTGTATCAGCAGCTCCTGAGGCAGGTCGAGCTAGCGCAGGAAGTACATCCTCTGCTGTGCCTTCTTGATAATGGCGCTGATGTTGGATCTCCACTTCAGGTCCTGGGAGATACCATACCGTACCATAACGTACTGAACCGTACCATACCGTACCATACCAAACCATCTTTATTTATAAAGCACTGAAACAACCGAGACGGACCAAAGTGCTGTACAGTGTGATTAACAATATACATTAAAAATAAAAACAACTTACAAGGACAGATAAAATCAACACCAATATCAGACATCAGTCAATACAAATAAAATCAACACTACAATAAGATATCAATCAATACAGATAAGATCACACCAATAAATAGTATCAAAATGCCAACGAGAATAAATGAGTTTTCAAAAGGGACTTAATGTTACGGTTTAGTCCCCCTCACCAGGGGGGTGAGGGAGAACTGAGATAGGACTCAAGTTTGCAGACCCATGTGCTAGTAGAAAAATGGAGGTTTAATGTAAAGAAAACATACAACCAAGGTAACAGAGTCAACGTATAGTACAATAACCAGGGTAGGACAGGGATAGCTGAGGAGACTAGGACGAGCAGATGAGTAAGAGGAGGAAACAGGAGAGTAGAGGACCAGGACAAGGCAGGTGAGTAGACAGGAGAACGGCGACAAGTGAGATGACAGGAGGGACACAGAAACGAGAAGACAGGATTGGTGTAGCACTCACTGAAGTGCTAGCCATCCAGTACCTATGGCTGGGAAAATCACCGTCAAGTACTCATGGCTAGGAAAGTTCGCCTGAGGTAATCACGGCATCGCCATCAGATACACATGGCTAAGAAAGTCAATCAGAGGTAATCACGGCATCGCCGTCAGATACACATGGCTAAGAAAGTCCATCAGAAGTAATCACAGCATCGCTGTCAGATACACATGGCTAGGAAAGTTCACCAGAGGTAATCACGGCATTGCCGTCAGATACACATGACTAGGAAAATACACCAGAGATAATCACGGCATTGCAGTCAAATACACAAGGCAGAGGGATGATCGCTAACATGCATGGCCCTATCTAACTCAAAACAAGAAAAAAAAAAACTAAAACCTTGCCGTGCGCTTAGACTGTCATACTTCTTTTAGATACACTCGGTTCTTTTATCTGAAGGCCCCAAGAAGTAACACTCAGGAAACAAGAATCAGCTTTATGTAGATTTATTTTCTTCTGGTTAAATGCAGAGTTATTACAACGCTGGGCTCTGTGAGATGAACAAGTCCCAAGAGCCTTGATAATCGGAAATAATTCACATTTATCTTCTCGGGCTGGGACTGCCCTGTACATGGGTGGAACGTTTCATGTAAATATTTTAGAATGTGTGTGTGCAGTGTGTGTGTGTGTGTGTGTCTATGTTATTTTCAGGCGTTTCTCTCTAACTGAAAGTAGACATGCACTTAGCTGTTTCACTTACTTCCCTAATTCTGTTGTAAAAACCCCTTACTCATGTTTCAGACATGAGTGACCAGTACAAGCCTGTCAAACCTCACACCTTAAAGTAACGTAAATTAACAGCATCTTATCTATAGTTTCCAGAACGACACTTATTTATGCAATCGATTCATGCACATTTTACCAAGAAGATGAGAAATACTACAAGTTGACTCAAAGCTGAATATTATGACTATGATGCATGCATAAGAGCCAGGTTAATACTGATACATGGTGCTGCTAATGAAACACAGACAAATGGTCATACGGAACTCTTTTATTATAAAAGCAAAATAATACTGATAATAAATAGAAAAATAATTTTAACTCCTGAAATCCAATCCTAACACTTCCTCAACATGTCCGTGTCCAACATAGTGCAAGTTAATGCCCCGGTGACAACGCAGCATCTGCCAGAGGTTTAAATAAGGTAGCGAAGTCATTACAATAACGCACCTCAGCTATGCGCGACAACCCACGAGTCACTAATTACAGCAAGCGACACAGCTGAGGTGCTGATCCCACAAAAAAGAGAGAGCAGGAGGGAGAAAGACAGAAGAGAGGCAGGTTGCGCCGAGCAGACCTGACACATAAAGACCGGCAAAGAAGAGGCTTGTCTAATGGGCAGTGGTAAATCATTCCATAATTTGGGAGCAGTAGCTGCAAAGGCACGATGGCCTCTAAGCTTGCGCTTTGTTCTGGGCACACTCAAAAGAAACTGATTGGTAGATCTCAGGGAACACGTAGGTGTATGCCAGTGAAGTAAGTCAGATAAATAGGGAGGTGTGAGGCCATAGAGGGGTTTTAAAAGCAAATAATAAAATTTTGTAGTGGATCCTAAAATGGACAGGTAAGCAGTGCAAGGAAGCCAAGACTGGAGAAATGTGTTCATATTAATGTGTGCCTGTTAAAAGACGTGCTGCAGCGTTTTGGACCATCTGGAGGCGAGCGATAGAGGACTTGCTAATCCCCAGATACAGTGCATTGCAGTAATCCAGTCGGGTGGTGATAAAAGCATGAATCAGTAAATAATAATACAATCGAAAGGAACATGAGTTCAATGTTTTTGAATCCCATAGCTGAAAAGGAAATTATAGAGATAGTGAATAAATGTGGTAACAAAACATCTAGTGATAGTGATGGTATCACCATGACAACTGTTAAATGGGTAATTGAAGGGATATGTAAACCATTAACCCATATTTTTAATATGTCGTTTCGACTTGGGCAGTTCCCCAATAATATGAAAATAGCAAAGGTTATTCCACTGTATAAATCTGGTGATAAACACAACCTCACAAACTATAGACCGATTTCTCTGTTGTCACAATTTTCAAAAATTCTGGAAAAACTCTTTAATAACAGACTAGACACATTTATTGATAAACATAATATCTTATCTGATTGTCAATATGGTTTTAGGTCGAAAAGATCAACATCCTTGGCCATTACTGACCTGATGGAGGACATTACAAGTGCTATGGATGAGAAAAAATATACGATGGGGATATTTATTGACCTAAAAAAAGCTTTTGATACAGTTAATCATGAACTATTAATGGATAAGTTAGAGAAATATGGGATCAGAGGAATGGTTGGGAAATGGATCAGAAGTTATTTGACACAGAGGCGTCAAGTTGTGAGGTTGGGTGAATATCAATCAAGTGAGCTGAACATTGTGTGTGGAGTGCCTCAGGGTTCTGTGTTGGGACCTAAACTATTTATATTATACATCAATGATATAGGTAAGGTTTCTGAAACTGTTAAAATGGTTTTGTTTGCTGATGATACTACCATCTGGGCATCAGATGAAAACTTACAGCAACTCTCTGTAAGGGTTTCAGAGGAATTTGGGAAGATAAAGAAATGGTGTGATAATAATTTACTATCTTTGAATTTAGAGAAAACTAAATATATGGTATTTGGGAACCGTAGACCACATAATGAACTTCAATTGAGAATTGGGGGTGCCAACATTGAACGAGTATATGAAATTAAATTTCTGGGGGTAATGGTTGATGACAGATTATCCTGGAAATCTCATATTAGACATGTTCAGCATAAAATAGCTAAAAATATATCGATATTGGCAAGGGTTAGACATATGCTGGACGTCAAAGCATTGCGGATTTTGTATTGTTCATTGATTTTGCCATATTTGGAGTATGGCGTTGAAAACTGGGGAAATACATACAGGAGTTCACTTCAACCATTGTACATATTACAGAAGAGAGCGATAAGAGTTGTGCACAAGATGGGGTATAGGGATCACACAAATGTAGCTTTCATACAGTCTAAATTGTTAAAATTCTTTGATTTAGTGGAATATAAGACTGCTGTGTTTATGTATAAGGCCAGGAACAATTTATTACCTGGTGGAATCCAAAAGTTATTTGGTGAAAGGGAAGGGGGATATAACTTAAGGGGACATTTAAATTTAAAAGTTCATGCTATACGAACAACCAAAAAAAGATTTTGTATTTCTATAAGTGGGGTCAAACTATGGAATAACTTAACTGTGGACATGAAAAATAGTACCAGAATTAAGGAGAGATTTAAAAACCGGAAAAAAAGAGGCTTGTCTAATGGGCAGTGGTAAATCGTTCCATAATTTGGGAGCAGCAGCCGCAAAGGCATAGAGTCCTCTAAGCTTGCGCTTTGTTCTGGGCACACTCAAAAGAAACTGATTGGTAGATCTCAGGGAACGCGTAGGTGTATGCCAGTGAAGCAAGTCGGATAAATAGGGAGGTGCGAGGCCATGGAGGGATTTAAAAGCAAATAATAAAATTTTGCAGTGGATCCTAAAACGGACAGGAAACCAGTGCAAGGAAGCCAAGACTGCAGAAATGTGTTCATATTTACGTGTGCCTGTTAAAAGATGTGCTGCAGCATTTTGGACCATCTGGAGGTGAGCGATAGAGGACTCGCTAATCCCCAGATACAGTGCACTGCAGTAATCCAGTTGGGTGGTTATAAAAGCATGAATCAGTGTCTCAAAGAGCTGTCTGCAGACCATTGATTTTACTTTGGCCAACTGCCTGAACTGAAAAAAAAACTAAATTTTACAACAGCTGCAATTTGGCAATCGAATTTTAGACCGGGGTCCATCTTAACCCCCAGGTTTGAAATATTTTTCTTGTTATATTGAGTTAAAAAGCCCAAGTCAATGGAGGGAGACCCAACAGTATCACCGAACATCATCACCTCAGTCTACTCTTCATTCAGCTTCAAAAAATTAAGAGCAAGCCAAGATTTAATATCCTCAAAACATTCAAGCAGTGGCCTAACACAATAATTTGTCTTTGTAACTGGTAAATAGAGCTGGCTATCATCTGGGTAGCAATGACAGGAAATACCGTGTTTCCTAAGTATAGAGCCAAGTGGGAGAAGGTAGAGAGGGGTCCAAGGACCAAGCCTTGTGGAACCCCTATACAAAAGGGGCTCAGAGGAGGACATAGCATCACCAAGCTTCACACAGAAGATTCGATCCTTAGGGTAAAACTGAAACCATTCTAGAGCTATGCCTTGAATACCCACCCAGTGCTCTAAATGAGAAATAAGTATGTTGTGATCTACTGTATCAAAAGCAGCGGTTAAATCAAGGAGCACTAGGATGACACAGTTCCCTGAGTTAGCAAGAAAAATATCATTTGAAACTTTCACCAAAGCAGATTCAGTACTGTGCAGGGTTTTAAACCCTGACTGAAAGAGCTCGAGAATATTATGTCTTTCCAAAAAAGCCAGTAACTGAGTGTAAACTATCCTCTCTAGAACCTTGGAAAGAAATGGCAGATTAGAAATAGGCCGAAAATTAGCAAGCACTGTAAGATCCATACCAGGTTTCTTAATCAATTGCTGCACCACCGTGTGTTTAAAATTCCTTGGGACCAGCCCAGAGGATAAGCTACTATTGATAATAACCTCCTCTGCTGTACCCTCTTGTTGATGGTGTTGATGGTGGATGCCCACTTCAGGTCCAGGAGATAGTGGAGCCCAGGAACTTGTAGGACTTTACAGGGGGGCCAAGTATGGTGAGGGGGGTAAGGCTGGGGGGTTTGTCCTGAAGTCCACTGTCATCTCCACTGTTTTGAGCGTGTTCAGCTCTAGGTTGTTGCGGCTACACCACAGTACCAGCTGCTCAACCTCCCATCTGTAGGCTGACTTGCCACTGTCTCAGATGAGACCAATGACCGTTGTATCATCAGCAAACTTTAGGAGCTTGACAGAGGGGTCCTTCGAGATGCAGTCATTGGTGTAGAGTGAATACAGCAGAGGGGAGAGCACACATCCCTGGGGGGCACCTGTACTTATTGACCGGGTGCAGAATGTGGGGTTCCCCC